CGGGCAGCGCCTGCGGGGCCGGGGCTGCCGGGGGCGTTTGCTCAGGGCTGTCGTTGGCATCCGGGGCGGGTGTGGTGCCTGCGGGATCTGCTCCTGGCCCCGCTCCGGGGGAAGTGGGCACTGCGCCAATAGTGGGGTTGGGGAGGTTTTAAGGTCCCTTTCTGTGTCCTTGTTGGTGTTTAACTGGGTCGCCTGGAGAGGTGTGGGATACCCAGTGAAACCATCTTTGTGTGTCTGAAGTCCTTAATCGTTCCTCGTTTTGGAGGAGTTCCATAAAGTGTCATAAAAAAACATTTTACTGCTAATTTGGCTTAAACACGTTGGCCATCAGGACGGGAGAACACATTGCTTCTGGCACCAGTGGCTGAGGGCTGGCTGCTGGGGCAGAGCTGGGCCCTTGGGCTTGGGGGCTGCTGGGGAAGGTGGGGTGGCCCCTTTAGGGCCCTCCCTGGCAGATAATGGTATTTATGGTCTGTTGTCTGGACAGTGTGGTGTGTCCTCTTTGGCTCCAGGAAGTGTGGGTGTCCCCGGTGGGGCCAAGCTGTGCTGCTGGGGGAGTGGGCACTGTGCCCTGTGCCTTGACCACCTCGGTGGGGTAGGTGGCTTGTGGCTCAGCTGTAGCCAGGGACCTCAGAACTTCTCCGCCGGTCCCAGCACTATGTTTCAGTGTAACGTTCAGTGCTGTCCTAATCCTATTAACTGTCCCCTTTGTTTCCCCCACTTGAAGTCCCCAACCAGCTCTGCAGGCAGGGCAGGCATGGGGTGCAGCTGCAGGGCTCCTCTGCTGGGGCTGTGCTGGTGGCTTCTCTTCCAGGCTGTCTTTGGTGTGGGAACACTTGATGGGGTTTGGCTTTTCATCACACTTCCAGATCTCTGGGGTTTTCGCAGATGGCAGAGCCCTCTGGACTGGAGCTGCCCTTGGCCCCGCTTTGCAGGGAACTTGCAAGACTTTAATTGCAGCATCTGTACCGAGGCCTGTGCTAGTCTTGAAGGTTTAAATTAGACTGGCTTCTAATTAACAGAAGTTAAAAAGAAATTTAATTTCTATTAAAACAGTGTGAGTCTACCTTGGACTTCAGCTTTTACCTTGATTTCAGCTGGTGCTGTCTCACCTAGACAGGCCCTGTGGCAGGGTGTGTGGGGCACCCACTGTCACCCAAAAGTGGGGTGTAGGTTCTGGCTCAGGCCCGTGGGGTGTCCCAGGTCAGTCTGTGCTGATGGAAGCAGCTGGGACGGCAACTTGGTAGGACCTCAGGAACTGCTGCATTGAATCACTGCAGTGTCCTCTGCTTTGGGAAGGTTGGGTTTTACTCTTCTCTCCCATGGGCAGGGTTTGATGAAGCAGTGGAAGTATGAAGGCACAGGTCTTAAAACTTGACCTAGGCAGCTAAAACCATGTCTGTGCTTAAACTGGGTTGGCTTTGGAGCTGAGCAGGTGCCTCGATGGGCAGAGCAGCTCAGCCCCTCTGCTTCCCACCTTCAGCACGGGAATGTCGCACGGCTGGTCCGCGGCTGCGGGAGAGATGAAGATGTTTCTAATTAGGCAGAGGTTTGAAATATCCTTCTAAATATGTCTGCCCTGATGGGTTTTGCTGCAGCTGCTGACAGGCCTGGAGGCATTTCAACACACCCCGATCGCTCAGCTCCGAAGTGGCTTTGTAAACAGGGCAGGAGCTTCGTGCTGTGTTCATCTGACCTAAGTGATCCTTGGGCTCCTTCTGAGAGCCTGAGCAGGAGCTGGAGGGTGGAGGTGGAATGCTTGGTGTTTCCTGGATATCCCACGCCTGGGTTATCCAACCCACAGGAGGTGAAGGCAAGGAAGCAGTGGTGCCCTCCTGGAGGAGGGAGGCACAGACCCCATGGGATGCGAGGTGGTCCCATACAGCTTTTGGAGTGGGTGGCTGAATAAAGCCCGAGTGCCTCCCTGGTAGGGGAGAGACCTTTGGCTGGTGTCAGGAGCCCCAGTGCAATTGCTGTGACGCGCGGGCAGAGCCCTGGTGACAAATCATTAACTTGCTCCGACAGGCCGGGTGCTGACGGGTGTTGGTGATAATTTCTTGTGAAGCGTCTGAACTTTACAGATGTAATGCAACTGGATGGAGAAATTAAGCCAGGGCTCAGCAGCCTTGTGTCCCTCCCCTGCCTCTGCTCCTCTGGCAGCATCAGGGCCAGGTAGCAAAATCCTGTGTTTCTGGAGCTGGGAACAGCCTGTGAGCCTCAAAGCCCAAATTTAAAGCCTGCAATTATCATGTTCTTAAAGGACAACTTGTTCTTTGTGCTCTTTAAAAACAAAATAATGATTTTATTTGTTGTTATCCAGATGGAGTTATTGTGATTAATTGCATCATGCCAGTTCTCCTTTCCACGGACAAGTGGCGAGTTCCCATCTTTCCCAGCTGCATTTCTAATGAGATGAGCAAACTTGTATTGAGGAGGAGATGTGCCCACATCGGCCCTC